AGAGAGAGAGAGAGAGAGAGAGAGAGAGAGAGAGAGAGAGAGAGAGAGAGAGAGAGAGAGAGAGAGAAAAAAGCACGTATCCAAGATCAGTCGTTGCGTAGGTAGGTCGCGTCGCGTAGTGTAGGTCGCGTCGAGTAGGTAGGTCGCGTAGCGTAGGTAGGTCGCGTCGAGTAGATAGGTCGCGTAGCGTAGGTAGGTCGCGTCGCGTAGCGTAGGTCACGTCGAGTAGGTAGGTCGCGTAGCGTAGCGCGGTCGCGTCGTGTCGTGTAGGGCCGTAGTTTTCCGAACTCCCCAAGGCACCGCGGCGATCCGGGCCGTAAACGGCCCGACGGCTCGGATTCGCCTGCGATCTTAAAACTTTAAGATCGCGGGGCGATCTGGGCCGTCGGGCAGGTGCAACCGCGAACGGCCTGGATCGCCGCGCGATCTTAAAGATCTAAGATCGGGGCCCAATCTCGGCCGTCGGGCCGGTAGGTCCAAAGACGGCCCGGATTTCAGAATTCTGACATTAGCGATTTTTATAAGTGTAGGGATATTCCTTGCATTATCTCAGGATTTCTTAAGCTATTCTCCTTTCTTTGTCCCTTGGGCACTTACCTACCAAACTCTAACACCATGCCATAGGTTCGATGACAGAGCATTCAGCTGCCAGAACTGTGAGAGGTTAAGTGTTAAAAATAGGGTTTCAAACTGGGAGAGAAATGCATAGAGAGGGTTCGGCTCCTGTGGGAATGAGAATCAGTACAGTCCCTTTAACTCCTTTATCTGGAAAAGACGGCATTTGAGGATAGCTTCCCTTTCTGAAGCCACAATCCTGCAGGACAGTACAGACACTTCGAAAGTTATGCTGCCTTGAGTACGGGGAAACATTTCCCACGTGTCTACTGTAAGGCTTCTTGGGGTCCATGTAATCAGACTGTTAGAATTCCGCACCCATTCATTTTCCCACTCCGCCCCGCCCCACCCCCAACCCTTCACCCAAAACCCTCAAACAACCTTCCCCCTTCAGAGATCTATTATGGTTCAACATTGAACAGAATGGTCTGCAAGTTCTCTGGGCAGCTGTGCCACAGCCTGTGTACCCCATCCTTGGCACGATGTCCAATTTACCCCTTCTCGCTCCCTCCCCTCATCCTGTAGATGGGAACGTCCATATTTTGATGCTGTCCAAACTTCATCATAAGGCAACAAGAGCAGGAACTCACGTACCAGCTATGCTTACAACCAAACGCCGGTCCAGCTTGATGTTGTCCCATACATATCCAGTAGTTTCACCTGGTCCGAGGAACTCCATCTCTGTTAATCCCTAGACAACCACACAGAAAGAGGCAGACAGAGTGCTTACAAGCTAGGGAAGAAAGTAATGCAACTGGTTGAACTGCACCAAAATAACAACTATGGTTTATCTACTCATCGGCCTCCCTGCTAGAACTCTATGAAAGATTGAAATATGCCTGCTAGACACCCACTACAATCCCTATTCCTTGCTACTTTATAACAGGAAGATGCAGTGACCAAATGGGTAGTAATCCCACATGACCTTACTTCCTCCCTCCCTTCCTTCCTCCCTTCCTTCAGTCATTTGTTCGTTTGCTCGTTTGTTCGTCCGCTCCTTCATATGTCCGTTGATGAATACGTAGAAAGAGTAGAAGAACTCGTCCACATGACATATACCTTGTCGTACATTCATAGAGAGTATTAGAGACTTATTGCCTTTCATAATGCAGCCGAATTCCAGTTGAGGCGAGAAAGGGAGGGGAAAAGCCTGTTGGATGAGCTTGGCATGCAAATTCATGCTGAAAAAGTATAGCCACATGTTGGGTAAACACACACACTACAAATTGACAAAAGGCAGCACACATAGCAAGAAAACAACAGAATGCTAGCAAGCGTTACCTACAAACCTTCCACCGCAAAACACTAGTGCACAATTTGGTATCGGTCTCAGTGTCACTTAAAGATGGAATGGTTACACCATGAAATTGAGGCCTGTTACTCTCCATCCATCCACTGTTCTGGCGAGGATTTGAATCTACAGTTACCCACCCTACCCTTTGTCAAATAGCAGTGAACGCCTCTACCCAGCTTCTGAAGGCTAACAACTTGAGAAACACCATCTCTCCATACTTTCGTACACCACCTTTATAACGGTGGAGTCGTCTACAACTCAAAAACCCCAAAATAGCAGTGAACGCCTCTACCCAGCTTCTGAAGGCTAACAACTTGAGAAACACCATCTCTCCATACTTTCGTACACCACCTTCATAATGGTGGAGTCATCCACAACTCGAAACCCCAAAAAGTATACTCCCACCAAGACTTTCGTGAATGCATCCCGGCAGTCCTGGGTGTATCTGACCACAACTAGATCAAAACAGCCTACCCCCGAGTAGAATGCCCAGTCATTATCGCTGTATGTAGACTGAAAGTTGCCCCAAATACTGGTAGAACGACGGGACATTTTATCTATGTATATACTCTTTATAAAGGGAACAGCGGGTCTCGTGTGACACTCCCGCGAGCTCGAGCTCCTTGTGTTGGGAAATCTGGGAACAAGGCGCAGGCCCAAGGGAAACTCACAGAAATAGTTTTTTTTTCGGTCGAAGGCTGGCCGGCCGCGGTGGAGGTGCTTTGTAGTCACGGGGCGCTGTTTTTTTTCTTTTTTTTTTGTGCGCGTGAGTTCACCGATCGAGTACATCACTGGCGATTGGAGTGTGCGGTTGTTGGCGCGGCGGTGAGTTCCACATGTTCCAATACAGCTACAGGGCCTCGCTCCACTACTCTCCAAATCTGCAAAATGAGAGTGAATCTTCCGCTAGAACATGGGAAGATACACTGCCATGGTTTTTGAGGTTTGCGCATGTGGAGAGTAGCCGAGCGATGCCCACAGAGGGAGGGCAACGGCCATGATCGACGAAAGAGGAAGGGACGTCGGTGGTGGTCCGTGAGTGATTGGGTCGATCATTGTATGTGTGGCTACTTTGTATATGGTTGACGTATGGGCGATGCTTCTCTCTCTCTCTCTCTCTCTCTGCCACTCCCTCGGGACTCATGGGGAAGATTGGGATGGGTGAGGATAGGACGACAAGGACGGAGGAGGCGATCATGATGCACATAATCTGTGTGTGTGTGTGCGTGTGTGTGTGTGTGTGTTTGGGGGTAGGGGGGAGGGGGTGTGCGGGGGGGGGTGCGTGTGTGTGTGTGTGTGTGTGTGTGTGTGTGTGTGTGGGATTCATGGGGAAGATGGGGATGGTTGAGGATAGGATGGCGATAAGGGAGAAGGTGATCATGATGCGTGTGTGGGAATATTGATTGGCCGGCGATGGGTTGGATGGCGAACGTGGGTGGGTGAGGATAGGACGTGGAAAGGAGGGAGAGAAAAGGGACGGAGGAAGTGAGACGACTGGGGTAACAGAACAAAGATGATGTGGAAGGGGACCGTTCCATGCTTTGTGTTTCTTTTTTTTTCATTTTTCGAACGGTAGATTGTGAATCATGGGTCGAGCGTTCCGCTTAACTTCATCGTTTTTGAATTTCCTTTCCAATTATTTTTTTTGTTTCCTTTTCGAGAATAGAGAATGCTCTCATGCACTCTGAACACTCTTTGAAGGAAGGAAGGATCGGGTGGCGGGCATATGATCACGTCGAAAATGAGGGATGATAATGGCGAAGGGGAAACAATACCCAGGGAACGACGAGCAGAAGAAAAGGGGAAGGATGATGGAAAATGGACGAATGATATAGCGTGGAACCGAGCGGCAGAGGGCAACATCAGTGCAGGAGGGATGATAATGCGGAAGGGACTGGGGAACGGCGTGCAACAGAGGAAGAAGAGAGAGCAAAGAGACGGAAGAGGAGACACAATCGGACTGGAAAACGAACGATGACCTAGACGTCGAACGGAGAGCATTTTTTTTCCCTTTTCTTTCCTGCGAAAAACCGACGAATGATCACTTGGAAGCGAGGGGAGGAAGAAGGATCAGGTGGCGAAGAAATGATGACATGCAAGAGGCGGCATGATAATGAAAAGGGCCAGCAAAAGATGGAACAAAGACGACAACAAGGGTGAGAAAAGAAAAAAACACATGGAAGGGAAGGAAAAACGATGAAGTGGATGGAGTTCGCCTTTCTCTTTCTGGTGTTGGATGGAGTTCCCCTTCTCTTTCTGGTGTTCGTTATCTTTGCATCCCCTTCTCTATCCACCCTCCGACTTTCTCCGTTTGTCATCCGTTCTTTCCTCCTCTCGTCCCCCTTCCTCTCTGCGCCCCCTCTCATTCCTGTGCCGCGGCATCGCCGCGACGGGTTGACTTGTTTGGGTAAAGAGTCTAGACTCTAAAGACAGCGGTGTGAGTGTGCCCTCATCCTTCATCCGACCACAGATTCATGAGCCTCAATCAGGCCTGCCAGGCTACCACAGAAAAGACACCTAGCACTGTTGATATCGGTTGTTTGATGCTGATACCAACTGGCCTAGCTCAGTTAGCACATCCATGAACTGTTGAAATACGGACCCAAATTCGAATCGAGATCCAACCAGATATGGAAGAATAAAATGATTTCGAATTACCTGGGGTCAGTCATGTCAGTGATGAAAAGATTCACGCTGCAGACACCCAGCCCCGGTCCCAGGGTTCCGACAAGTCCCTGAGTCCCAGGGCCGTCCCATAGGGTAGGCCGTAGGGTCTAGAGGCCGAAGTGTCGTAGGTCGGTAGGAGTCCCGTCTGGTACCCGACAAGAAAAGTCCAGAAGCGTCCAGTCCAGCCCGACAGTCCCAGGTCCAATTTTGCAGCATGTCCCAGGAAAGTCCGGAAGCTACCGGACCGACAAAATGATTGCAGCAGACAGGCCGCGACCGATCGGTACCGGTCTGAAGCAGGCCAAGCCAAGCCAAGCCAAGCCAAGCGAAGCCAAGTCCTATATTTAGCTGCTATAGTGCAGCGGCTCATCACTTGTTCAGTTGCGAGATGTGGAAGCGCGCTGCTGCTCATGTGTTAAGGCAACTTGTGAACTGTGTGCCCGAGGAAGAAGAGGCCGCACGTGTGTGACCCCATAGCTAGGGTAGGGGTAGAGCAGCAGGACGGCGGACATAGCAGCCAACGTGTAAGCTTACCTGAGTGGGTGTATCCAGGGTGACGATCTAGGTTAGTGAGAGAGAGAGAGAGAGAGTGAGGCAGAGCGAGCCAAGTGAGAGAGAGAAGCAAGGCGAGAGAGGGAGAGAGAAGTGAGAGGAGCCATAGCCGCCACCTGATTGAGATCCGTAGTGTGTGTTTGTGCGGCAGAGCCGCTGGAGACAAACATTCTGTATATTGTTAATAATATTGGAGACGGCATCTTCAAGTGTTGATTGTATCTCGATTTGGCTTCTCACGTGTGAACTTGCACGTGAATGATCATTGATGCATGCGAGGTTAAACTTGACAAGTACTTGGCTCATTTCAGTGATGATATCTCAAGACCATCGCCATTTCAAAAAAAAAAAAAAATTGTTGTTGGATTGCTGGATACTGCATCTCTCTTCTGTTGAAGAAGACGTGCATTCCGTCTGCTGTAGAGGGGGTAAAAAATATCTGCAGCAGCAGGCAACCATAACTGTGAGCTTATCATGCTCGGTAGTTTGCAAACTTGGGAGTGTACTAATTCATGGTCTGGCATTCCCTGTTGATAAGTCCCAGAACCTTCAGAAGACTGTGAATGCGCTTTGTCTACGATTCCCCTCTGTTTGCATCCTCCCATTCATTAATGGCTAATGTTATACTAATATACATTCTATGACGATCTTAGTTATGTTGAGACGCACCTTGAGAATGCAGAATTCAAGGCACAACAACAAATCGGCTGGGCTTGATTCATACAAAGGACTTCCCTGAAGTGGCCTTCGATAGCTTCTCTGACACTCACCTTCTGTGCAAATGCGATGCTTCCGCGCCGAAGGTGATTCTCGATCCGGTAAGGTACTGCAGATTCTGCACCCTGCAACTGTAACCTCATGACCAGAGTTGGCGACTCGTCCACCACGTTGGCTAAGACAAACCTCGAAGTTATGGCACCTCGGCGCTTCATGGCATCTCTGCTGCTACCAAGAGAACTTGATTTGACCCTGAGTGTGAAGGACCCTATAGCCCCTGCTTGAACAGGCCCTGACCATCGCCAAGCACTTCCTTGAGGCCGAATGCACACTCTGAGGTTGAGATCAGCTGTGCCGCTGTCAGACCCCAAGCCATCCGATCTGCTGCTAAGAGTTGTCTCCTCCCTCAGATATCCCCTTCCAGCGACTCGGGGACTCTCACTGGTATCGTCCTCCCCACTCGAATTCGGGTTTCCAACACGCATCAAGAGTGGCCGTCTCCCACCTGGTTCCAAAATCAATGATGCAGAGGGGTCATCCTGCCACCAACACATTGGACAGAACTCATATTATCAGCATTGATGCACGATGCCAACGAGTGGACACTCCAGGCCCAGTGTGTTGCAATAGGGGTCCGAGGGGGGAGAGGGGGAAGGAGGGTGGGAATGAAATTCAATGAATCTTCACAACAGGGGGTATGGATGAGGGAGGGGATGGAAAACGCCAAAATTGCAGGAGAAGGGAAATGTGGGTGGGGAAAAGCCGGGCAGTCCAGGCAGGGGAAAATGTCAAACTTGTTGGAGGGGCATCAAAATTACAAGAGGGGAAAGCATCGTCATAGGGGTAGGAGGGGGGTGAGGGGGAAAGAGGGTGGCAACGAAGCATCACAAGGAGCAGGTGCAAGGATTTGGCTCCTCGGCAGGCCAAAGGGGCCCCTTATACAAGTGTGCCCGCCCTAAGTGAAGGCGGGCCTAACAAATCACGAGAGGCCCAATGCTGTCAATTTCGTATTTGGAGTTCAGGAAGTCGTGTCGCACCAGTTGGTTAAGGGAACCCACGTCCCGAGCAGCAAAGACTTTCCACAGCCTTCTAGGCCTTTTTCCAACCGGCAGGCCCTGGGCCACATTCGCAGCAATATACACGGACAGTTGGGAGGCGCAACCAAGCGAGGCCGAGCAGCAGCTACAGAGGCCCAGCTACCTGGGGCCTACCGGTAGCTTCTGGGTGCAGGTCCAGCCCAGCCAGGCCAGGCCAGGCCAGGCCAGACTCTTTCCATATAGGAAAGTGCCCACTGCCTAGCAAGGCATTTGGGCACATGCTAGTTTGCGGCAGCGCTGCTGGAGCGAGTGCTCGCGGGCTGCTGCTAGCGCAGAGCATGGTGCAGCGCACGTGCGGTCGTGAAGAAAGAAGGGCAGCGCCATAGCCCAGCCTCCATAGCTGGCTGAGGCTTGGTGTTACAGCAAGGCACAAATGGTTAACAGGTACCCTCACTTTTCACCCCTAGGGTAACCTTCACCACCCTGAAAAGTGTAGTGGGGAGCATGTTTTTTTGTTTTTTTGGTTTTTTTTTTTTTCGGCCTGTTTTGCTTTTGGTCAAGGTCTGTATGTGCCAAGTTTGGTGTTTGCTGGGTTCCAGGGGGAACTGCAAACAGACTCGTTCTCAAACACACTTTTCATGCATATAAACAGCAACGCAGCATACTGGCGACATGCGCCCACTCAAAACTCAGAGATATGGCTTTCA